CATAGTAAGTAACAATCCCTTTTGGTATTTTATTTTTAATCTCTAGCATATAGTTGAAAAGAATAAATTACTCATCGCGAGAACTTTCACAATGATTAACCTTGGCGCTAGGGGTAATGAGATACTTTGTTATGATAACTTCTGGTTAAATGGTGGATATTTCATTATGAGAAATTCCGGTGCTACTGACGGTAAGATACATTTTATGATATCGTCTGATCATATGGATGATGAGACACTTTTCATACATTCTGGTGTTATGGGTGATGCGATACTTTGATACATTATGGTGTTATGAATGATGAGGTATTTCATCATGAATCCTGGTGCTATAGTTGAAGATTAGATATTTTATCTTAAAAATTTGGGTGTTATCTATATTAAGGTATTTCATAAAGTATTGTGGTGCTATGGATGATATTTCATCATGAATTATGGTGTTATGAGATATTTCATGATACATTCTGGTTGTGTGGTTAATTGACACACTTCATCATAAATCCTGCTTTCTTGGATGACGATTACATATTTTATAGAAAAACATTTGATGCCATAGAGATATTTATGCATTCTGATGTGATGGAAGATTAGATACTTCACCGTGAACCATAGTACTATAGATGATGAAGTATTTCACCATGAATCATGATGCTATAGATGAGGAGATATTTGACCATAAATCATAATAATATGGATGATGAAGTATTTCATAATGTATTCTGGTATTATGGATAATGATATATTTCACCATGAATCATGATGCTATAGATAATGAGATATTTCATCATAAATCATAATAATATGGATGATGAAGTATTTCATAATGTATTCTGGTATTATGGATAATGATATATTTCACCATGAATCATGATGCTATAGATGAGGAGATATTTGACCATAAATCATAATAATATGGATGATGAAGTATTTCATAATGTATTCTGGTATTATGGATAATGATATATTTCACCATGAATCATGATGCTATAGATGAGGAGATATTTGACCATAAATC